TTAAAGGAAAATTGAGGCTGACAGGAGAGGAAGTAAGTGAAAAGGGAGGAAGTCATTCAGGGAGGGTGAGAAGGACTGGTCATGGAAAATACTGACCTAGTCCAACCCCTCATGTGAGGGACAGGGACACCAAGCCCTGAGAAGGAAAGGTACCTTCTCAGTGTCCAACAGCAAGGCAGTGAAAGAGGGAGGTGTGACTCCAGCTCTCCTCAGAGCACATGACCAAGAGGCAAGAAACCCAGGCTGGACTGGTCCTGCGCTGCCTGTGGTCTGCTGTGAAACCCTGGAACGCCTTCATCCTCTCAGGTCCTGGGTGTCTTCATCTGCGTAATGAAGGGGTTCTGCAGCTAACAGCAATGATGTTCCTGGTAATTGTAGATAATCATTATGCAGTGCGTACTCCCTACTCTTACAGAAACAAAAACAACAATAGCAAAGTCTCATACAGGGTGTGCTATGTACTGAAAACTCTTCTGAGAACTTTATATATGCTTAGTTCATCCTCACTAATTCTGTGAGATAGTGTGGCAACCCGTCTCCAAGAGCCCCACGGTGATTTTTGCCTTCTGGCTGTCATGCTCCTGTATGGGCCTTTTCCACATGGAGGAGAGCTCACCTGGGTAACCAGTAGGATATTGCAGAAATGATGTAGTGCAACTTCCATAGTTAGATCATAAAAAGACATTGTGACTTCCTCCTCGCTTTCTCTGTCTCTCTCTTGAATCAGTAACTATGGGGGAAGCCGGCCGCCATGTTGTAAGAACACTCAAGCAGCCCCATGGAGAAATTCGAGTGGTGAAAAACCGAGTCATCCTGCCAACAGCCAACATGAACTTGCCAACCACGTGAGTGAGACAACCCAGACCCTCCAGCCTCAGTTAGACCTTCAGAAGACCACAGTCCCGCTAACATTGTGACCCAACTGAGCTCCTCCCAGATATCTGACCCACAGATGCTGTGAGAGATAATAAATATCTATTGTTGTTTTAAGTTGCTAATTTTTGGTGTATTTTGTTATGTAGTCATAGATAATTAATACTGTTAGGTAACACTGTCATCCCCATTTCATAGATAAGGATGTTGAGGCACAGAGAATTCAGACACCTTGACCCAGATCATACAGTTAGCAAGTGATTTAAACTCTAGCAGTTTGGATCTATATAAAGTTCACGTAATGAATTAGAATCCCTTTTTTTACAGGAATGAAGATACTCTGTCTAGTCAGAAAGAGAGAGAAAGAGAAAGAAATACAGAGCAACAGTGGCAAAGATAAATGGGCGATCAGCACAGTGCAGCATGAAGGATTTGGGCTAGACTTCTGTAAAGTGAAGGTCATGGACAGTGGGAGGGCTCTGCTGCCCTTACAGCTCAGCTGTGATTAGCTGAGGTCGCTGGTCTGTTACCCTAGCTGGGTGGGTGACATAGCCTTGGGTACCTGGGTCTGGGAATCTGACATCCTGAGTAGCCCCATCTGAGGTTCTTATTACCCTGCACACTCACTGTCTGGCCCCAGATCAGAGATTCTCAAAGGCAAGGACATAGTCTTGCTTATCCATGCCCCTCACCTGACATAAGGCCAGTCAAGGGAGCCTGGGAAAGTGTATACAGAAGGTCTTCTGGAAAGCCCTGGCTGCGACCTCTCTAGAGGAGACTGGAAGGCTTCCCAGAGGAAGAGGCATTTGAGCTCAGGCCCAAAGGATGAAATAGAAGTCAACCAGTGCACGAGTGTTCTAGGCAGAGGGTATAGACTCACAAAAGCCTAAGGCTCCAGTTCTTGGGGGGCCAGGGTGAGGGAGTGGAGTGTGCATGGATTGGGCCCCTGGCATTTCTGGAAGCAGGACATGGAGGCTTGGGAGGGGCACAGGGCCATGCGGACAGCAGGTAGAAGGTCACCTGTTTCGGTCTCATGGGGAATCCACTGCACTTGGGGTTGGGTTTGGGGATTTTCTTTGGAAACCCAGAAGTGGGCAACAAGGCCTATATGCTCGAGTCAGCCCAGAATGGAGAGAGAGTACAGGTGGGGACAAGGCACTCAGGCAGCAGAAGTTATACCTCACTCTCCCTTTGGTGTCTGGCATCTGCCAAGAGCTGGGCTTTCTCCATTTGCCCCTCATTGGAATTAACCAATTTATGTGCCCTGAAAAATTCCCCGTTCTGTCACCTGGGTTCAAATGCTAGCTCTGCCATTTACTAGCTGTGTGACCTCCCCATTCCTTAGTGTGCTCATCCGTAAAATGGGATAAACATACAACCTGCCTCATAAGAACTAAATGGGTTAAAGCATTTAAAACACTTAGATGGGGCGCCTGGATGGCTCAATCGTTAAGCCTCTGCCTTTGGCTCTGGTCATGATCTTGCGCTCCCTGCTCAGAGGGGACTCTGCTTCTCCCTCTCCCTCTACCCCTCTCCCCACACTCCCTGCTTGTGCTCTCTGCTCTCTCTCGTTCTCTCTCTCTCTAACAAATAAATAAATAAAAGCCTTAAAAGAAAAAAATAAAGCACTTGGATGGTGCCTGACCCCCAGCAAGTGTGCAGTTAAGAAGTACCTATTATTATTACTTGATATATATATAATATATATATATATTTGACTTGCCCTTTTAACTTTTTCAAGTATTTAGCCATCATTTATCTAATGCTTGTTATGTGCCAGGCCTTGTACTTATCCTCTGAAAATAAGGATGACATAGTCCTCCCAGGGGTACAGAACCTTCAGTAAGGCAGAAACAAATATTGGTCAAATGTGTCCCATGCCAGAGACCCAGAAATGCAGGACAGCGGCTTCCTGTCCTCAGGGAGGTCACAGGCTGACTAGGGAGATAGGGAAGTGGCCCACATTGGCTGGGGACTGAGAGGAGCCTGGAGAACCTCTGATGAGGGACTGTTGAGAAACGAGGAGTTGCCCATCTTGACAACTGGATCTGCAGGAGACTATATGAGCAAAGGTCCCCCTTTGGAAGGGGAGGTCAATGAACACCTGTACTCAATCTTTATTCTTTGAGTGTTGGGAAGTCACCAAGGGTTTTTGAACAGGGAATTCTGTTTGAATAATAGAACATAACTAAGTTATTATGTACCAACTGTATGCTTCATGGTGCACATACATAATTTCATCTACTATAATCCTCACTGCCCTGTGAGATGAGTTCTGTCATCATTCCCATTTTAGATGAGGCAACTGAACCAGAGGTAGGAACCAGTTTCTTTAGATGAAGAAACTGAACCAGTGATGGGAAATAACCTGTGAAGGTTAACCTTAACCTCATATCACCCTGTTTTATTTTTTCTCATAGCAGTTATGGAGATCTGAAATTATCTATTTGTTTTCTTTTGTGTCTGTCTCTCCCAGGTAAGTCGTAAGCTGCAGGAGAACAAAGAGGGACCTCCTATATTTCTACACGGTATCCCCCGGCCTCAGATAATGCTGGGCACAAAGTGGGTGCTCCATAAGTTTTTGTTGAAAGCGTGCATGTAGTTCATTGCCTGTGTGTGGATGGTCTGTCTTCCCACCAGTCAGGGACTTCACCAGGACTTGTACCTTGTCTGATTCACCTTGGCACCCCTAGGCCCAGGAAGGGTTGGCACAGAGCAGGGCTGGGATATACTTGTTAAATGACTGAATGAACAAAGGCTAGAAGGGCTAATGGCACGAATGCCTACTGGGCTCTCTGGGGTCTGCACCCCTCTCCTATGAGGTAGCCACAGCCATTGCCAAGGGGCTGCCCTTTGTGGGAAGGAATAGGGCTCAGTAACAGTGGCTTTCAGGCTTGGAACTAACAGCTCCCAAAACTAACGTCTTCTGCCCCTCTGCCATGGAGGTGAAGTGGCAGGAGGAGATGGGAGGGTGGACCTACACTGGGCCCAGACACCTGCGAGTCTGTCTCTTTTAGTGGCCGATGCCCTTGAACCTCATTCTCCAAAGAAGGTTGTGCTGGATCAGCCTCACTTACCAGCAGGCAGGGAAAACCTAGTCCCCAGTCTGCTCCCCACACCCTGCCATGGGCGAGGTGGGCCTGTGACCTTCCAGAGAAGGGGACTTTTCCTTTATTCAAAGAGTAGACAGAGGCCCTGGGCGTGTGTTCCCTATAACACATCCCTTTTGTGGATTCCCCCAGCCCTCCCTTCTCTATCACAGCAAAGACTAGGTGTTGTCCTGCAGGTGCTCCTGATCGCCCCTTTGCCTGATGGAGAATGCTGACGAGGATGAATGTATAAAGTCTGTGTGCCAGGCCCAAGCCACCTGCCTCACATCCTCAGCCATGGTCACATGACCATGTAACATGCACAGAGGCACATGGGCACATTAACCAGCTACAAGCATGCATTGTATCTGGTTGGTAGCGGATGAGGGGCGCAGAGGTCCAGTGCATCTCCCCGAGCTTCTACCTGATCTCACACGTCCCGGTATGCTGACCCTTATCCACCACCACCACCTCTGCCCCATGTGCACATTGAGCAGACCTGTGCACCAGGGAACATCTCCCCTCCCACCCAGGTTTACTCCTACGCACCCCTCAGCCTTCTATTAGCCTGTCACCTCCTCCAGGCACCCAGTGCTGCTTCCCCTGGCCTGTCTGCTACCTCTGGGGCAGGGACCTCGCCCGGCTCATCTCAGCATCTGCAGCGCCCAGCCCGCAAGCTGGTCCTCAGCTGGGTCACCGCGCGCCAGCTTAAGGAGGAGTGGACCAAGGACAAGAGGGAGGAGGGAGAGGCGGCAGCGGAGGAGCGTGGGGGCGGAGGCGGCAGCGGGAGGGGGCGCGCGCGCCGGCGGCGGCCGCCCAGGGCCGGGGCCGCGCGCCCAGCCTGAGCCCGCCCCGCCGCCGAGCGTCACCGAACCTGCTTGAAATGCAGCCGAGGAGCCGGGGCGGGCGGCAGCGGTGGCGGCGGCGGCGGGGGCAGCGGCAGCCCCGGCGCCGCGGCAAGGACTCGGCGGGCTGAGGCGCGGCGGCTGCAGCCGCACGGGGTGCGCGGGGCGCGCCGGCCGGAGCCCGGGGCCCGCCATGGGCCGCCCCGAGCGGGGCGCGCTCCGGCCGCTGGCGCCGCTGCTGCTGCTGTTGCTGCTGCTGCTGCGGCTCCAACGTCTCGCGGCGGCGGCGGCGGCGGCGGATCCACAGCGCGGCGGCCAAGGTGCGTGAGGCTGGTTCCCCGCCCGGCTCTGCGCCGCGGGAGCCGCCAACAAAGCGCGGCCCGGCGACCGGGTTGCGGGGTGCGCTGGGATCCCCGAGCCCGGGCCTGGGTGGGATAGGCTTCTTGGGACCCAGCTCTCCTTTAATTTGCCCTCGACCCCCGCCCCCATGGCTCCCGGTGTCGTTGGCTCTGCCTTCTGGCACCTGCTCCTGGGGGATGGGCCCAGTGGGGGCCAGGCGGGCGGGGAACTTTGTGAAGGGTGGGAGGTGGTCATTGATGGTTTCGGGTGGGCTGCGTGATTCTAGCCAGCGAGATTTATTTGACACGCACGCTCCGCGGCGGCGGTGAGCTGAGCCGGGCGACTTCCCCGCCTGACAATGCGTTTCCGGCGACCCCTGCGCGCGGCGGAGAAAGAGGGGCTGCGTGCGAGGGGGTTATGCCCGCAGCGCCCAGTGCGTGTGTCGCGGCGTGTTCGGGGGCTCCTTGTGGGGCTGCGTCTGCGTAGATCTCTGACTATGGGCCGTGAGTGCGGGTGAGTGTTCTAAATGGGGGTGTACCCAAGTCGTGTGACACCGACTGTGTCTGGCCTCTAGTGCCACGGAGCAGCCCGCCATCGCATTACCATTCTGCCCTCCTTCCGGATCGAGGGCGCGCGAGGCCCCCGAGGTCGTTGGCTCCATCATCGCCTCCTTTCCTTCACCCCAGTAGAGCCCTCCCCGCGGCCAGGACTGCACTGTCCGCGGATCCGGCTCACACCCCCCTCTCCCCCGAGCAGGGCCGGTCAAAGAGTGCGAAGAGGACCAATTCCGGTGCCGGAATGAGCGCTGCATCCCCTCCGTGTGGAGATGCGACGAGGACGACGACTGCTCGGACAACAGCGACGAGGACGACTGCCGTGAGTGGCCGGCTGGGGAGAAAGGGAAAGGGGCGGGGAGGGGGGGTGCCGGCCACCTGCTTGGACCTCACTGCCAGGAAGCTGCCCTGGCGCCTCCTTCCTCAGCGCTGGGTGGCTCTTAGCGACCCAGCGTGAGCTGGGCGGCCAGCGTGTCCTATTGGGGTCCGGGGCAGAGCCCGGGGCTGGTGTGGCCCAGGCGGAGGGTGCGGTACGCCCGGGTTGCCGGACCGGAACTGTGGGCAGGGACACGACCGTCCCTGCAAGCGTCTAGCTTCCTGCGTTTAGCCCTCCTGGACTCCTGCGTCTGCCCCACGGAACGCGCGGGTGTTTCAAAGTTCTAGGCAATTCTGGGCCTCGCCTTGCTGGTTTTTTTTTTTTTTTCGTGAATGAATGGGCTCCCCGGGGCCCCTGATTGGCCAAGCGAGGACCACCCCATAGGCCCCCGTGGCCAGAGCGGCCAATCGTGGAGCGGGCGGGTGTGCAGGTTTCTGGCGCCGGGGATATAAGGACCCTGCCCTGGCCCCGCCCCGGCCACACCCCCGCGCGCTTCTTCTGGGAAGTAAGTGCCTGTGAGGCCCGGGCGCTGGCTGGCTCCCTCTGCTTTTCTGCCTAGTCACGGTGTAGAGTTTTCTGTGCCACCCTGGTGAGCGGACCACGCTCTCCTGCTGGCCCGGCGCGGGCATGAGTCATGGGGCAGACCAGGAAGCAGGGCTCCAGGAGAAAGAGTTTGCTTCCTGGAGAGGGCCCAAGGATTCCGAGGCTGCACGTGAGCCTTCAGTTGGTGGTGGTGTGCACGTGGCTGACCCGCCTTTGCCTAGTGTGGTGCCGCTTGTACACCCGGGCCCTACAGCTTTGCAGGTTCTTTCTTGCGGTGCTTGTGGTTTCAGATGTTTGTGGGGGCAGAAGTGAGTTGGTAGGCAGTTGCTGTGAAGGAGTGTAGCTCCAGGAACAGAAAAACAGGACTCTTTAGAAACAGACGCGGGTGGTCATACTCATGGTTACTGAGTGCTTGCTCAGTGCCAGGCCTGGGGCGCTTTGGAGAAGGGGCCTACCCCACAGGCCAGGGAGCACCGGGTCTGCAGGAGGGCAACAGGTGGACAGATCCACAGCACCACACAGTGGCAGGAGGGGTAGAGGGACACCTGGACAGGTATTGTTGAGTCCTTGAGGTTTGTCTGTGGGCTTACCAGTCAGCCTCTGGATTCATTCTCAGACGCAGTCCAGGGTTGGCTCTGTGTCTTGGGCACATCTCCCCCTCCTGTCTTCATTTCCTCACCTGACCACTTGGGCTCATGATTCCTGGCTTTTTATTTTTTTTTTTTTTTAGATTTTATTTATTTATTCATGAGAGACAGAGAGAGAGAGAGAGAGGCAGAGGGAGAAGCAGGCTCCCAAGGAGCAGGGAGCCTGATGCGGGACTCGATCCCAGGACCCTGGGATCATGACCTGAGCCGAAGGCAGACGCTTAACCATCTGAGCCACCCAGGCGCCCTCCTGGCTTGTTTTTGAGGACCAGTTCTAGTAGTGTCATTGGAAGTCACACCACTCACACGTGCTGACTGTTTGCCATGTGCCAGTCCCGTGGTGAGCGCTTATCTCACATAAACTCCTCCACTCTTCTCAGCGGGCCGATTTCACAGGCTAAAGAAACTGAGGCGCTGAGAGATTAAGCTACTTGCTCCACAGTTATTGACCTGCTAAGTAGAAGCTTGAATTTAATGCTTCAAGAAGCCTAATCATAACCTCATCATTGATTCCCTGGTGCTGTTGCAATGATGAAAATGGCAGTGCTGGGGTAAAATATTATAGGGAGTCTCACCCCTGGGAGTTGTTCTGTAATCCTCTTACAGTGGGAGTGCCAAGGATGAGGCGGGGAAATAGAAACTGCAATTCTGGGTTGGTTTCACCTTATCTTCCTGGCTCCGTATAACAACAGTCTTGTGAGGGTTTTTTCTTGTCATCCCCGTTTGTAGATAGGGATGCTGTCTCAGAGACGTTGGGTGATTTGCCCAAGGTCACACAGCTGAGAGTGACAGAACTTGGTCAGGATGTCCACGTGCCTCTTAACACAGACAGCAGGGAGCGTGACGTGGAAGGACCCAAGAGCGTGATCCAGGAGCTAGAAAGCCATGCTCTGCATGTTGGGCCTGTTGCTTCTCATCTCCATGTGAGCCCTCCATGGAGAAGTGAAGTAGCAGGTGTCCGGGTGACCCCTGACGGGACCAGGGGAGCTCTCATGGCCAATCGGGGCTCCTGCTTTCCTTCTGAGATGGAGGGGGTAGAGTCACAGGCGCAGAGTTAGTGAACAAAAGCAAATGAGGTTGAGGGCTTGGAGTGGAAAGGGTGGGAGCTCTGGTTCGTACCAGTCCTACATGGCTTAATTTTTCTGAGCTGGTTTCCTCGTCTGCCAAATGGGGCCGCTGTCCCTCCATCGTAGGTTGTATGTGTGGGAAGTCTTCAGACAGGGTTGGCGAAGAGAAGGGAATGGATGAGCCCCTTAGATAGGGACCCCAGGAGCCACAAAGAGAAATCTTGAAGAATGCGGGTGGGGTCTTTGGGTGGCTATGTTGGACTCTGTGTTTGAAAGTGGTCTTTCATCATCCCCTCCTTCCCCATGTGGGGAGCTCCCCCCACCCCCCACCCCATGCTGGGCTGCCTGCCCAAACTGCATTTCCTTGAACTACCCTCTCCTCAAGTCTGCTGTCTCCTCCCTGAGCAGCCTCTCTGCCTTATATCTGATACCCTCCTTTGGCACTCCCACCCTTCTACCCTATGAGAGAGCCTGAACCAACCACCTCTGTACCTCTCTGGGCCTGCAAAATGGGGGCATTGCAATTTGTAAGTGAAGTCTGGGTGAGGCAAAATGAGTGCAAGTTCCCAAAGGGGCCAGAATGCAGCCTAAGAATACGAAATGCTGATGGAGGCTAGAGGGAGGAAGTTTTTATATTGAGGAAGCCAAGGAAGACTTCCTGGAGGAGGAGACAGCTAAGCCAGCCAGGCCTTGAAAGATGATAACTAATATCATTCCCACAAGGCTTACCATTTAAAGATAGTTGGTGCGGTCCCCGTATTATGGAGTGGGAAACAGGAGTTCACAGAGGTGAAATGACTCCCCCCAAAGTCACATAGCTCCTCAGGGTTGGAGCAAGAATTCAAATGAAGGGCCGCTAAGCCCTGATCTTTATCCACAGTGGGTGGGACTTGGCACTTACTGGAGACACCGATAGAGCTGGGAGGATGGGGGAAGTGAAATGCTCGTGGGGCTTCAGTTCCAGATTCAAAAGACCTTCAAAGTGGAGGAAAAGGTTGGAAGCCTGAGGGCCAGGCTCAAGGAAGCCTAAGGGCAGCCCAGCCAGTCAAAGTGGCGTGGGATCCCCGGCTGTGGACCTGGTCACGTAGGCCAGTTGGCTCCTTGACCTGTTTCCTGTTGCTCCTTAGTGTCTGGGGGGGCAGAGACAGGGTTCTGGTCTCTGGCCAGCCCTTTGCTCCCAGAGTAACAACAACGAACACTTACCGAGTACTTGTGTTGTCCCAGGCGTACTCAGATTTTTTTTTGTTTTAAGATTTTATTTATCCATTTGAGACACAGAGATACAGAGAGAGAGAGCGAGCGAGCATGAGCAGGGAGAGAGGCAGAGGGAGAAGCAGACTCCCCGCTGAGCCAGGAGCCGGATGTGGGGCTCGATCCCAGGACCCTGGGATCATAACCTGAGCCGAAGGCAGATGCTTAACCATCTGAGCCACCCAGGCGCCCCGCATACTCAGATTCTATACGCGTCACCTTGAACTCCTGGCTTCTATAAAATGGAGCAGGTCTCTGAAATATCCGCATTAGCACCGTTTTACAAAGGGACGGAGCAGTTTAGAAACTAGCACAAGGGTGTATGATTTTTTTTTTAAAGATTTTATTTATTTATTTATTTGACAGAGAAAGACACAGTGAGAGAGGGAACACAAGCAGGGGGAGTGGGAGAGGGAGAAGCCGACTTCCCGCCGAGCAGGGAGCCCGATGCGGGGCTCGATCCCAGGACCCTGGGATCATGACCTGAGCCGAAGGCAGACGCTTAACGACTAAGCCACCCAGGCGCCCCAGGTGTATGATTTTTAAGTGAAATTGCTGGGGTGTGAACGCAGGCGCCCAACTCTGGCACCTGTGCCGTCTCCAGCAAGTCCTTGCGGATCTCCATTTCTCCCTCTTGAGATGACATCAAGCCTCCCCCCATGCCCTCCCCAGCTCTGGAAAGAACTCCGTGTTTCTCTTTATGACCAGGCTGGGGATACAGGTAGACTGGTTTTGTGCTCAAATTCCTCCACCTTGTTCAGGCTTCTTTAGGTTGCCCTTGTTCTCCCACCCGCCATCAGCTCTCCATGCCAGGTTTAATAAAGAGTGGGTGCAGCGCAGTCTCCCATGGCTGAGAGTTCATTAGCTGGGCAACGCTGAGCTGCAGGAGCACCGAGGCTTGCTGGGAAGCAGCCTTGTAAATATTAAAGCTTGGCCACAGCGCCCAGCTAGGGCTTGCAGCCGGCATCCAGCCTTCAGAGTGCTGCCTGGCCTCAGCCCCCGTTCTCACACTCCTGACCCCAGGCCCAGCTTCATCTCCTTTTTGGATGGAGGCGTTGGACCACAGTATTACTCCTCTCTGAACTGTGATTTCCTATCTGACCAGGCAACTCCACCATTCAGAGTCTTCCTGAGCCTCCCACATACCCACAGGATAAAGGCAACTTAGACTTCTCTGCATTTGGCACTCTGTGACCACTCCTGTTGCCACTCCCCTCCAGCCTCTTCCTATGAGCCTGCAACACCGAACTGTAGCTTCTGTCTCACTCTGGCCTTCCTTCTGCTTCGCACCTCCAGGCCTTTGCACGTGTCACTCCATCTGCCTGGGACACTCCTTCTGTTCCCTCCGCTGGCAACCTTCTTATTGCCATCTTAGAAGATTCAGTGCAGGTGTCACTTCCTCTAGGAAGCCCTCCCTGCTACCTTCTAGCCCCAAGGC